GGCCGAAGGGGCTTCCACGGGTGTGTTAGGCTTGTGCTTAGAAGGGTATGTGCCCGCCGCTTTGCTCCTCCAGCATGTACATGTGCCGGCATTGCTACGTGGACGTACGGTATCTACGGGTCTCTAGCTCTCTTTCTCCCACTCTCCTCTCTCCCTCTCTTTCTCTTTCTATCTCTGTTCACTCGGCCTTCGTCTATTCGAATGTGTTGCGCTCTACCTATATCACTCACTGTGTCTTTCTCACTCTTTTTCTTTTTTCTTGCGTGCTCTCTCTCTCTCTCTCTGTCTCTCGTGCCCACTGCATCCGTCTTCCTTCATTCCTCTGTCACTCGTCGTCGTCTCCTCCTCGCGCCGGACTCCGTCTTTTGCACCATACTGTCACGCCAGTGTGCCACTACCGGCGATACGTAACGCTGCCGCGGCTTCGTCGCGGTACTTGGAAGACGTAAGTTACGCAGCACCTCGGACGAGAGTGGTCCCTCCTGTCTTGCCCGCCTGCCTGCTTACTTACTTGCTTGCTTGGCTGCCTGCGTGCAAGACCTGGGCGAAAGAGCACGCCAGACGGGTTTGCTTGCTCGATGTATGCATTTTTAGGGGGAGCCTCTCTCTCTCGTTTAAGCCTTCCGTATTATTAGCTCGTCGTCGTAGTCGACGTCATGCCACCGGCCTGAATTAATACCGGTGTCGAAGATCCACGCGTAAATTACAGTCTATCATGCCGAGTATCTCTCCTATTGCGCGTAATTTGAGTAATTCGAGTGGTCAAAATTATCGGCTATTATTGTTGTTCGACTGCTTGGATCGTAAAACAATAATCTTCATCGTCCGCGTGTAGATTATAAGCGAGCGCTAACATTAACTAATACCATCGCGTTTATCCGCTACGGATACGGGAAGTGCGATAATGATAACAAGATCAATGAGATCGATTTTCAGATATACATTCCTCCTTGCTTTTTCTTGTATTTTTTTGGAACGCTTAAACCTTCCATGTTATTAACCGATCATCGTACTACCGGTCTGGATTAATAGTCCGTTTACAGCCAGGAGTCAGACGCGTGAAGTTCAATAATTATAATATCGAGGCAGAGCGATTTTTAGTTCGCCGTTTTACGTAATTACGGTTTTGATCTTGCGGTCCAATCTCCAACTCACGCGCGTGGTGAATAATGTGTCAATTAAAATCTGGCCCGCGAGAATGACGAATGTAGGCATATTTGCGAATGATTGGCTTTCCTCCAACCGAACGTCGAGCTGCATGTTCGATAGCGTACACGTGCGTCATTCGTGAACAAACGGAACGAGTCGCACGCCGTCTTTACGGTGTCACGTGAAAGGATTCGCGCAAACTTGGAAGACTTTGGTAATTTTCCAACGAGATCACGATTTCCCTTTGCCGTAAATCTAAGATGCGACCGCAGCCAGTCAATCGTATGCGCCGATTTCGTCGGGTCAAGTACGAATGAAGCTACGGAAAATTTGTGTTTTCCAAAAGTCGTATACGTAAGGTCGTTCGTTACTTTGGCCAGCCCCGGGTGCTTTCGAACAATCTAGTTTTGCAATATCTTCGTACGATTTTGTTTACTCGAGACGGAGAGAAATAAAATAGTTGCGGAAAGATTATAATTATATCAGTCAAAATTAACAAAGTTAATTGAGGTGTCGGTTGTAACAATGTTTTTAACATTTTATAAATTTTCAGAATTATTCCACGTTGCCTATTAATAATACAAATAATGGAAATAAAAAATACTATGTCTGAAAAATATGAAAATTCGGAAAAATATGAAAATTGAAAATTCATAATATGTAAAAAAACAGCGGAATTACATATGCGGCCGGCATATGTGGACAACCGACAAATTGTAACGTGGAAGTGACCTCATAAAAGGCCCTGTAGGATAGTCTTAAGGGAAGTGGCCGAGTTATCGAGCCGGTGTCGTAAAATACTTTTTCTCTATTTTACGATGGTTATACTCCGCACAGACGTTCTCGAGGCTCCACCTGTCCGCTTGACTTCTTTCAAAAAGGCGATCTTTTTATTGGCTGGCTCGTACTTTATTTACGACGTCTTCTGTACGGACCGTTTCTTTTCTCTTTCTCCTCCCTTTCTCTTTCTCTCGTCTGGCAAACGAAGGAAACTCCGTGAAATCTCGATGAAGCTAGTTCGAATTAATAACATTTTCAACAATGCTGCTTGCAACGCACACGGTAAACAAATGAGAATGAATGAATGGATGCGGGCACAAACACGCCCACGCTTTTGCACTTTGTCTGCCGACACAGAAAGTCACCGGCTTGTCAATTGAAAAGTCGAAAGCGTAGGAAGAAAAAGAGCTTTTCCCCCCTTTAGCGGAAACCCTAAGGGGATTATTTCTAATTCCTTTATGTCGATGGGACGAACGTTTACTTTCTTATCGCGCGGCAGTACGCGATAACGATCTAAGCAACAGTTTGCTTCGACGGGAACAGGAAACTTTGGGACACAAGGAGCGTGAAAAAAGCTTAAAACTTTTCAGCGAAAGTGCAATCTTTTCGATTCAATCCGACGTGCGATGATCCGTGTCTTAAGACATTCGGCAGATATTCGCAATCATTACGATCGTTATCATTATGATCCTCATTATCGCTCTTGTAAACGTTTTTATCGGCGGTGTTATCGGTCCACGGAAGGATATCGCATAGACTCGCCTGCCTACGCCTGAACCGAGAAGTCAAGAAACTCAATTTATTACGAAAACTTTTCGTAACGCGGCAAGTTAGGTACGCCTTTACCGCTTTCATGCGCGTAGGAATCACGATAACATATTACCGATTCGATTAGCAACTTGTCATTAGCTCTATCTCGTATGTCTCGTTATCTGTAATCTTTCTATCCGCAACAAGATTAATTGCCTCGTTTGCGGATCGGAAGTATGCGGGGACATTGAGCGTCGTACAGATGCGACGTGACGGCCACCGGCGTGCCGAGAAGAAGCTTCTCTTTTTACCTGCGTGCACGCATAAATGCGCGCACACACAGCTAGAGAGAATGAACGATGCGTCGTCTCGACGACTGAACAAAGTCCACTTCGGCATTAGACACCCCTGGTTTCTGAAGCCTCGGGCGATAGTAGTCCTCCTACCCTTTGCCGAGGCACCCCTATGGATCTCTCTAGCCGAGCCACTCTCTCTCTCCCTCGTGGCAAGACCCTTTCTACCTCTCGTCTCTCCGGCACCCCCGCCGGCTCTC